TTCTCTACTGATGGTCATACAGGCCATGTCCAAGATTTACCTATTATGAATTATGCTGCTATAAATATAGGTATGCATATATCACTGTCATATGATGTCTTTTAAATTTTCAGGAAGACACCTAGAAGAGCATTACCTGGGTCAAGTGCAGTTTCTCCTTTCAGTTTTTTGAGGACTTTCCATACCAACTTCCATAATAGTTGCACTACTTTACATTCCTACCAAGAATGTAGAGGAGCTCCTTTCCCCTACAGCCTCACCAGCATTTATTATTTGATTTCTCGATAGCCACTCTTTCTGGAGTAAGATGAAATCTCAGTGCTGTTTTAATTTACATTTTTCTAATGGCCAGGGATGTTAAACATTTTTTCACACATTTTGTGGCTATTTATTCTTTTTCTGTGATGTGTTGATTCATTTCAGTTGCCCATTTTTCACTGGGTTTTTTATTTGGAGGGGTTCTAATTTCTTGAGTTCCTTATATATGCTAGATGTTAGTCTTCTGTCCAAGAAATAGCTTCCCCCCCCCTTTTTTTCCATTTTGTAGGTTATGCCTTCACTGTTACTTGATTCTTTTGCTATGCAGAAGCTTTTTAATTAGATATGACCACATGTGTTGATTCTTGGTACTATTTCTTGTGTCATTGGGGTTCTGTTCAGGAAGTCTTTGCTTGTATCTATGTTTTATCTATTTTATCTTCTAGCTGATTTAACTTTTAGATCTTTGATCCATTTTGATTCTATTTTAGTACATAGTGAGATAGATGGGTTTTATGAATGTGGATAGCCAATGTGTGTAGTACCATTACCCTACAGAGGCTCTCTTTCATACAGTGTATATGTTGGCCCCTTTGTCAAAGATCAAATAGCTAACTGCACCTGAGGTTGTTTCAGCTTACTCTTTTCTGTTCCATTGATCAAGATGTCTGTTTTTGTGCCACCGTGTGCTGTTTTTATCCCTGTAGCTTTGTAATGTAACTTAAGATCTGGGATTTTGACTCCTTCTGCTTTGCTCTTGTTATGTAGGATTGCTTTTGCTATTCTGTGTCTCTTCTGGTTCCATGTGAATTTCGGACTGTTTTCTCTAGATCAGTGAGAAGCAGTGTTGTTATTTTGTTTGAAATTCCATTAAATCTGTATCATTTTTGGAAGTATGGCCATTTTCACTATGTTGGGTGTAGCTAAGAATAGGGGATGTCTTGCCACTTTCTGATGTCCTCTTTGATCTCCTTTTCTCAGAGTTCTGTAGTCTTTGCTGTAGAAGTCTTTTACTTCCCTGGTTGTTAATTCCTATGCATGTACTATTTCTTGGTGCTGTTGTGAATGGTATTGTTTTCCTACTTTCTTCCAGTCAGTGTGTTGGTGTAATGCTATTGATTTTGGGGTGATTTTGTATTCTGCTTGGTATTGCTTGTATCTATACATCCCCCAAAAGCCTCATGCACTCATAGGTAGGGCTTTTCAGACCTTGCTGGATCTACAGGGTGTGATACGGGAATTAAGAGTGTGTGGTACTAAATCAGTCCACTGATTGGAATTAGCATAGTTCTAGGTGTAGGTGAATGGATTTACTGAAGACAAAGTCCCACCAAGGGTGTGGATGGGATAAAAGGGAAAAGCAGACTCACTGCTCTTGCTACCGGCCTTTCTATGGATTATTTCTCCTCTGCCATGCATTCTGCCAATTACGCATTGAAAGCTGTATAAACTGTGAGCTGAAATAAATCTTTCCTTTTTTAACTTGTGGGTGCTGTGTATTTTGCTTCAGCAATGAGAAAAGCAACTTAGACACTGCTAGACTGCTAAATTTGACAATTCTAAGAGTTATTTGGTGGAATCTGGGGGGGGTGTTCTATGTAGAGGACCATGTCACCTGCAAATAAAGATAATTTTACTTTCTTTCCTGTTTATATCCCTCTTATTTCTTTCTTTTTCCTAATTGTTCCAGTTAATATTTTGAGAAGTATGTTGAACAGGAGGGGTCATAGTGGAGATCCTTGTCTTCTTCCTGAGTTTAGAGGGAAAACTTCAGTTTTCTTCCCATTTAATATGTTGTCTGGTTTGTCATAAAAGGCTTTTATCAGATTGAGATAGGATCTTTCTATACCTATTTTCCTCAGGGTTTTTTTTAAAATCATGAATGGATGCTGGATTTTGTCAGAGGCCTTTCCTATATCTATTGAAATGATCATGTGATTTTTATCCTTGCTTCTGTTAATGTGAGATATTGAGTTTATTGATTTGTATATGTTGAACTATTCTTATGTCCTTAGTATGAACCTTTTTTGTCATAATGTGTGATCTTTTTGATGATCTGCTGCATTCTGTTTGCCAGTATTTGAGGATTTTTGCCTCTCTATATTAAGAGATTGATTCTCTATAGTTCTCTTTTTTCGTTGGGTCCTTTTCTGGTTTTGGAATCAGGATAATGCTAGCTTCCGAGTGTTGTTGGCAGCTGAGTTAGATAGAAATATTAGTCAGTCAGACAGGGTGAGGCCCTTGGAAAAGCCAATATAAAAGATACCGTGCAACTGCAGGAGAGACAGGCACTCCTGCTGTGGGCCTCAAGACAAAAGATCAAACAAATGCACCCACATACTTCCTTGGGGTGGACATCAAGGATTCATATTCTAAATAGCTATACATCACCTTGAAAAAGCCAGGAAGAGTCACTACCCCAAACCCCTACAGGAAAAGCCCCTGTTCTGTATGCATGCCCATGTGCTATGTGACTCGCTTCCCCATTTGATCCCGATTTAATCAATTTTACCTGAACAATTATATTTGTAATCTTATTGGTTGACCATAGTTTTGTCCCACCTCATGCCCACCTAGCAAGTTCCCATGTTTTCCACCTTGGACCTTCCTCACCTCGTGGTTTTGCTTCATAAAAATCTCTGGAAAAGACAGGTTCCTTGGTAACCCATTCAGGCCCCTGTCTGTCCCTCTCTTGGACAGAAACTTTCTTTCCCTCAGTAAATATATTCTGCTCTTAACCTTCATTGTTCCTAAAATTCATTTTCTGACTTTAGAGAACACAAACTCATCTCAGATTATCTTTCATTAGGTTGGGAGTTTCTTTTCCCTATATCAGAAGTACTCCTTCCTTTTCAGTTTCAGTAAAGAGTTTGAGGAGTATTGGCATTAGATCTTCCCTGACATTCTTTTAGAATTTGGCAGTGAATTCATCAGAACCTGGGCTTTTCTTTGTTGGTAGGTTTTTGAAAAAAATAGTGCTTCAATTTTATTGCCTGTTATTGGTTTATTCATAGTTCTAAAAACTTCCAGTTTTGGTAATTTATATTTATCTGGGAATCTCTCAATTTCTTCTGAATTCGCCAATTTTTTGGCATACAGGTTTGCAAAGTAGTTGGTGTTAATATTCCAGATGTTGATAGTGTCCGTTATGATTTCTCATTTTTCATTTTAATTTCAATTGCAGTGATTGGTTTCTTTTTCTCTCCTTCTGTAAGATTGGCTAAGGATTTGTTTAATTTGAAGAACCAGCTCTGATTGACTTTTTGTATTTTTTATACTATTTCATTGATTTCTGTTCGACCATTATGATTTCCTTCTTCATACTGGATTTGGATTTGAATGTTCATCTGATCTTTTATGTCTAGTATTGTTTGTTTTACGAAGTTGAGTGTGCTGCTATTGGTGCCTATGTTTATAATGTTTATCTCTTCTGCAGTGTTCCCTTAACCAACATGTAGTGACCATCTTTGCCTTTTCTGATCAGTTTTGGCTAAAGTGCACTGTCTGAATAGAGGATTGCTACTTCTACTTATTTTGGATTCCTATTCCATGGAATATCGTTTTCCATTCTTTAATATTTAGTCACAAATTTACTTTTGGGTTAAATGTTTCTTGTTTACAGCATGCCACTGGATTTTGTTTCTTAATCTATTCTACCAATCTATCTTTTGATGTGGGAATTAAGACCATTCACATTGAAGGGTATTACTGATAGATATTGACATTTCTGTCATTGCATTCTTTTCCTATTTCTGATTCTTTCCTCTCTACTGAAGTGCTTCTGTTGGGTCTTCTAGCATTGTTAACTTCATTATCTCTTTCTAGAATATCCTTGAGAATTTTTTGGAGTGATTTTTGGTGGTCATACTTGTTTTTGTACTCTTTACCATGGAATTGTCTTATTTATCCATCGACTTTGAAAGATAATTTTGTAGGACATATCAGTCTGGGTTGGAAGGTTTTTTTGGCAGGTGGGGAATGTT